TGGGAGGTCAATATTTAGAGCTTTTAGGAATCGCCATACTGTTTTCCACAGAGGTTGCACTAGTTTGCACTCCCTCCAACAGTATAGAAGTGTTCCCTTTTCGCCACACCCTCTCCAGCAACTGTTATTTTTTGAGTTGTTGATAACTGCCATTCTGACTGGAGTTAGGTGGTATCTCAGTGTGGTTTTGATTTGCAACTCCCTGATGACTAGTGAGGTTGAACATTTTTTCATGTGTCTGTTGGCTGCTCGGATGTCTTCCTTTGAGCAGTGTCTGTTCATATCTTTTTTTTTTTTTTTTTTTTGAGTTGGAGTCTCACTGTCGCCCAGACTGGAGTGCAGTGGCCGCTCCCGGCCACCGCAGCCTCGACCTGCTGGGCTCTGGCGATCCTTCCACCTCAGCCTTCCGAGTAGCTAGAAATACAGGTGCGCGCTACCACACCCGGCTCATTTTTTGATTTATGGTAGAGGTGAGGTCTCGCCTGCCCAGGCGGGTCTCAGACCCGTGGGCTCAGGCGATCCACTCACCTCAGCCTCCCAAAGGCGTGGGATTACAGGCTGAGCCACCGAGCTTTGCCCATTTTATAATGGGGTTGTTTGTTTTTATCTTTTCAGAACATTTGAGTTCCTTGTAGATCCAAGATGTTAAGCCTTTGTCAGACCTGGAGTTGGCAAATACTTTTTCCCAGTCTGTAGAAGTGCTACATTTTCTATGATTAATTTAGACAGAGTAAGGAGGACGGAGAGTGATGGGGGTGGGAATAGTCAGAGAAGGTTCCTCTGATGTGGTGATGTTAAGCAAAGATATGTGAGGGATTGAACCCTGTTGTTTTTGGAGACAAAAGTGTTCTAGGCAGAGGGAACAATAGTATGTTGAGTGGATCTGTACCTCTTGGCCATGTTGCCCAAAGTGTGGTCAGTTGTTTCAGAACAATTTACCATATTGACTCCCGTGAGTTTCTCCAGTTTCTATAAAGGGAATTTGTTTTCTTTTAGAAGAAAGAGAGCAAAGATGGAGTGTGGCTACCTCAAGAAAAGGCTGAGAGTACATTTTTATACTAATCTATTAGTGCAGAGCAATGTGTGGTGGAGAAGGCTTTTTCAATTATCTACTACTAAAGCACCTGAACAATTAGGGTCTGAAGTCAATGGTCATTTTAGCATGTTCTCTCATGGTCCTGAGGGTTGGCTGGTCTCAGTAAGGCAGTACAGCTCTGACTTGTGGCTAGATGATGCTGGGACTGGAGTGACCTAGGAGTCTTCTTCACTTACATGTCAGTCGTTAGTGCTAGAAGGTCAGTAGGAGCTATTGCCAGAACACCTACAATGTGACTTCTCCATGTGGCTTGGGCTTCTTCATCACATGGGGGTTGTGTTCCAAGAATGTCTCCCAAGAAAACAGGGTGGAAGTACATGGCATTTTTATGACCTAGCCTTAGTCTCTTAGTGTCACTTTCACCATGGTCACAAACCCTTCTAGATTCAGGGACAAGGGAGTAGAGAGTCCTCCTCAGTGGGAGGAAAAGTAAGTCATATTGTAAAAAGAGCTCTTGGGATAAATAATATTGTTGGCATTTTTGGAAAATATTGTTTGTCACACAAGATGTATCGAGTTATCTTCCTGTTGAGATGTTCAATACCATTAACATTAAAGAAATGCAAATTCAAACTACAATGAGATAGCACAATACATACATAAGAATGGCTAAAATGAAAAACAGTAAAAACACCACTCATGTATACACTGCTGATGGAAATATAAAATGGTATAGCCACTCTGGAAAATAGTGTGGAAGTTCCCTTCAGAACTAAAAGTGGACTTGACATACCAGCAGTAATTGCACTCTTATTTATCCCAGAGAAATGGAAACTTATTTTCACACAGAAACTTGAACACAAATGTTGATAGCTGTTTTATTCATAATAGTCCCAAACTGGAAACTACCCAAATGTCCTCAAAGGATGAATGGTTAAACAAATGGTGTATCCATATCATGAAATACCACTCAGAAATAAAAACAAACAAATAATTGCTACACACAAAAATTTAGGTAAAACCTCAAGGAAGTTATGCTAAGTGAAAAAAAGAAAGCTAACCTCAAAAGGATACGTACTGCATGATTCCACACACAAAACATTTATTGAATAACATAATTATAGAGATGCAGAGTAGATTAGTGTTTTCTGTGTCTTCTAAATAAATGACTTGTACTGAATCCTTGTCTTGGAATGTGCTTCTGGGGAAGGTCAAACTAACATAGTGATCAGAGACAATGC